CATTCCCCAAACATTCAGCTATAATATGCATCTTTTGGATTCATTCTATGTATTACAGTTGTCGAGAATATCAATGAAATGTGAAAACACTGCTTTTTCGAGCCTTTACTGGCAACCCCATTTACAACAAATGACACTGGGATGTCTATGTTCTAGGTGTCGTCGAATTAGTCAAGGATAGTTGGGAAAATTTAAAAAGTGGCGCGCACAAAAGAGCGCCGCGGGCAGTGCTGCCAACGCGACAGCGCAACAGTCAAATGTGACACTTGTTAGTTTCTTTTTTTTACGCTACGACGTTGAACTGCCAAAATTACCAACCGGTGTGTAAAAGTGTCTTGTGCAAACGAAGATGGCAAAAACATACGATTATCTGTTCAAGTTGTTACTGATAGGTGATTCAGGTGTGGGCAAGACATGTGTGTTGTTCAGGTTCTCCGAAGACGCTTTCAATACGACATTCATATCCACGATAGGTGAGTCATAAAACACATATCGGATCTGATACATTTTTATATAAGTATTTATATAGGGAGCACACGCAGACACCATAAAGAAATGAAAGAAAGAAAAAAAATATACAATAAAATGCATACACATTTGTATATCTGTAAAGTAAATTATGATGCGGGATGGAATGCAATAATTACAGACCTTCGGATAGGTTGATAATCCCGAGCGCATTTTGTTTTGGTATCCGATCCTCTTCTTTTCTTTTCTTTTTTGGGACGGTCATAGCCGCCTGTCTGTCCATTCAGTTATGCTCCTTTGTCCACACAATATTGCCTCCCTATCACTCGAGTTCGAGTCCTAAAGTTATAACCACACCTACTCCAATTCGCGACGACGTCCTTTCTTTATCTATGATCCAACAGGAAATCATAATAGCAGTCAACATGAACGCATAATTAATAATTCACAAAGTCGCCGTTACCCACACAAATCATTCGAAATTGATTTTAAAAAAAAAACAACAATTAATTTCCCAATTCCAACACAAGCTTAATTAGCATTGTGACATTTATTTTGTTTACTTACAATTGTGAAACAATTTGCTTGGCTGCAATAAATGTTTCTTTATTTAATCACAACAATTCCACGCGTGTACTTGATGATAATTGAATAAGCTAAAAATAAATCATTTATGTCGTTAATTGTTTAAACAAGTTTTTTTTGGTTGTTTCTATGATCATAGATAATGGATTACTTTGTTACGTTATCACGAATTAGTTTTTGGAATTTGATCAATCAGCTCTGAGAATGCATGAAAGATGCATCATTCTTCATTCAGCTTGCAATTAAATAGTTTAATTACACTTTGATTTCTTTCCCTTTGTTTTTGTCTCCATTTATCGTATATGGAATTCACCGATTGACAAAGTCGTTTTTGAAGTTCGTTATTAAAATATAAGTATATTTAATAAACTGTGTCCTGATTCTATTAAAATTATGCAACGTATCAGCTCCAGTTATTTGCTGAATATATTTTTGATAGAGTTTAAGGTCGAATTAAAATAAACTTAATGGATATTAATAGATTATATAACTGAATCATCTAATTAACGTGGATCTATTGAGTGCGTATTATAAATTAATAGAGAAATGACGAATCTTCTATAATTAACATCTGATGGCATTGATCAATACTTTATATAAAAAAAAAGCAGCGCAACTTTTTCTCAAATATTATTTAAAATTATGTAATATAAAAAAAAATATAATAACTCTAGATTAAATTAAAATTTCATATTAAGGAAATGAGACTTACTCATCCAGAATTTAGTGGGCTTGTCAGATAACACATCTTTATTAAGACGAATTCGAGTTTAACTTCGCCTCCTCATTACATCATTACATTACACCCAATGCGAAGTTTCCAGCAGAAAAACCTCGTAATTTCTTATAATTTTTATTTTGCGTTCTGTTTCAGGTATCGATTTCAAAATAAGGACGATAGACTTAGATGGTAAAAAAATTAAATTGCAAATATGGTGAGTACATTTTTCATTAATACAATTTAATTTTGTTTAAAATCAACGTTTCATAAGTATGAATTAAATTAAAACAATGTTATCTTTATTTTTCTTGCAACTTCCGTGAAAGTGATCAATTTGTAATTTTGCACATAATTAGGATGTGGATTACATATGTTGTTTTACTCTAAATAGTCTTCTATTTGAAAGTAGGTAACTGCTCAGACAAATATCTAAGTTCAAATCTAAATCTAAAATGTTAATGTAAAGTGCATTACCGAACGATTACATAAAGCAAATAAATCGATGATTTCTGCTCGTTTGGATACATGTGCAATAAATAAAGTATTATCTATTTAGATAATATTTGATTTGTTTGTTACTGATGAAGTTTTCGATAATCTTCATCACTTGATAACGTATTTTCAGACTGATTTATACTTGTTAAATGTCAGGACGAGCCTCTGTTATTTTTTTTTGTAAGTGCGACAAAGTAAACTCGTTTTTATTTGTATCGGAAGAGCTTAACATTTACGACGAAGACAATCGTTCTTAACTGTTTTGTAACACGAAAATGCCAGGAAATCGCATCATGATCAAAGATATAAATGTCAGTGGACGTTTCGAGAAACCTCATAGTCGGGGTATAAATTGTCAAATCCACAAAAGCTGGTAAAGGTTTCGGTTCTATTTGACTAATTTATTAAGACGTATAGATCATGTATATGTGTTAAATTGTGTTTTTGTTTACTTTTAGAAGAGATTTGTTGATTTAAATCGTTTATGCCGTGCTGTTAACATACAATAGTTTTGTTTGGTTGAAATTTTATCTCTCATTTCAATGATTTGAACAAAACTAATAAATTTTACATGCAGATTGATTGTTTCAAGAACAATCAATTCGGACATATAATAGATAAACGTTGTAATGAATTGATAACAAAGTTGTGATTCCCTTTTAATTGGTTTAGGAAGAGTACATATTATTTTGTTGGAAGTTGGAACCAATTGAATCATTTTCTGATCATTGGAAACGTTGGGTAGTCGGGGAAGGGCGAACATTTATACAGGTCAGGCTGATATAACGTAAACAAGGCGCCCATTACCGATACGACTGTTTGAGAAGGAAAAAAAAATCAATAAACCACGAGATCGAAATGTCTTCTGTGCGTTTGTTTGAAATTCGGATCAGAGTTTACGTTTTATTTTTAAATATTACCGAACGCGCGCCTCCTCCGCGCTTCTTCGCCTTCGCTTTGTTTTAGCAAACTGCAATTCCGAGAATCCTGTTTCGCTTCCACCCACGTCCCTTAAATATAATGCCATAAGTTGACCATGGAACAACAAAACATCGTACTATCATCATCCATGTTTGTCTAGACTACCCATTGGAATGATGACAATGGAAACGATGGTCCCACGTAAAGAACGATGCAACAATGCATGCAGATCTCGTGTTCCGTTACTCTACCACCTTTCCACTGAAAGCATGCACTTCCATGTCCGAAGGAAATGCGCTATATTTGTAAACACAATCCAACAATCGTTTTGCTATTCAATGCGGATTGCCGTCGCCTCCGAAGAACTCTCGGACTTGAATTAGTTAAATAAACCGTGCAAAATTTACGAAAAGCTCTATTACGTTACGCGATCGATTCGTGTGATATCATTCAAACGCGTCACTCTTAATTAATTGCCGAATGTCCAGTATTCGCACCTCAAAATTTCATCATCTCAATCACTTTGATGGATTTCAATCAGCAAATTACAATACAACATGCACCTGTCACGATGTCCACCAAGTTATTGCTTTGTTACATCAATCCAAAATGTATATATTTTTTATCTTCGTAAATGATCTCTGACCTTTTAATACAATAAAATTAATATATATTACAGCAGTTCGGTCCGCGGGAACATTAAATTATTTATATTTTATTTTAACTCACTAGAAATTTTGGGAATTTGGGAATTTTTCTAATTTCATCTTACCAAACTCAGAGAGCGGTTCTCTGACTACTTTTCAGATCTTGATGTACAAACTGTGAATTGGGTTGTAGATCCTTTTAAATGTGAAATTACTAACACACCAGAAGAACCTCCAGGTTTGGAAGAGGCAATTCTTGAACTTCCATCCAATACTGTATTCAATTTGAGACCAAAGCAAATCTTGTCGTCTTTTTTGGTTGTCAAAGGCTGCAAAGGCTTTCAAAATTGCACATGATGAGGCGGTAAAAAAATTGCTGCCCTTTGCAACAACCTACCTTTGTGGACAAGGCTTTTCCACTCTAATGA